AGTGCCCTCCCATACACACTCTTCCAAACACACATACAGTTCCCCCCATACACACACTGCCCCAAACACACATACACTGCAACTCTCACACACACTGCACCGCTCACACACACACACACTGCAACTCTCTCACACACACACTGCCCGACACATAAACTGCCCCTTAACACACACACTGGAACCCTGACATACACTGCCGCCCTCACGCACTCGCGCACACACTTCACCGCTCACACACACTGCACCTTTCACACACACTTCACCCCTAACACATACCACTGCTCCTATGCGCTAAATCCCAGCAGACCCCAGGTAAGTTGTCAAACTGTTCTTAAACGGTTTGATTACTTACTCTGGGATGGGATCCTGGCACTACTAGCACCATAACTACTACACTGAGCTGTAGTGGTTATTGTGCCTGGGTTATTTCTTTAAATAATCTACAAGTGCCCCTCCCGAGATCAGGCTCTGGATCTGCCACTGCACAGTATTCCCCCCTCCTACACACCATGACCCCGCTCCCTCACAGTATCACCCACCTCCCTCACAGTATATCACCTCCCTCTCAGTATTACCCCCTCCCACACACTATCGCCCCTATATCCCACACACTATCACCCCCTCCCTCACTAGATCATCCCCTTCCACACACACACAAACTGTCACCACCTCACACACACAGTATCATCCCCTTCACACACAGTCACTCTCACTTATACACACTGTCACCCCTACAATGTAGTGTCACCATACTCATACACTGTCACATTCCCACACATTGTCACCCGTCCTCACACTGTCACCCCCTCCACACTTTCAGCCCTTTCATGCATCCACACTCTCACTAACCACTCCTAGTCCTGTTAATCTCACCCCCTCCAAACTCACCTGCCCTCTCTTTGCCACACTCATTAACCCCCTTAATCCTGTCACACTCCTTCCTCCAACCATTCCATATTCACCCTTCACTCCAAAACTGTAATACTCACCCCACCCCAACTGTGCCACACTTACCCTGTCACTGAAATCTTAAATTTTCATTTTTGTTTTCGAGAACCCCTTCACACCAGTACTTATTTATACCCGACTGCCGGGCTATGCGACCATACCCCACAATTGTGTATAAACGATTGGCATAATTGCAAATTAAATTTATTTATTGCAAATTAATTTTGTTTGCAAAATGTGCTACAACTATAGCCAGAGAGCTCACAATGCAGGGGCACAGGAACCTCTGACATTGCAAGCTTCTGAACAATGAATGCAGAGACTGACTCTCTGTATCCAGCGCTGCAAACACGCCTTTCGATATAGCGAATACTCCTTACACTTATACAAAATACAACCCTATTATTTTATACTTTGGGTGTAAGTGGGGCCTCATGCTTGAAGTTCGCCTAATGCCTCATAAAGTCTAGAGCCGCCTCTGACCATAAGTACCACAAAACATATCCCCATAAATGTTACATCCCCTGATAGCTCTGATGGCTGAACAACATATCCAAAAATCACCCAGATCAGATCAGGGGTTCAGAAAATTTATGGAAGTCATATCTTTACCCAGGCGAAACCAGGTGCCGCTGGAGGACCAACAGGGAACCGCAAGGTTTTCATGCCGAAAATAGTTCCAGGGCGTTCGCGGCTAAGTCCCCCTGAAGTCTATTTGCGTTTTTTGTCCATGCGAACAAGATAGCCACCACCACATGTTCGAATGTCGGCCACTTCGACTGTTCGGGACTTCGAAGAACAATTGTTTTAAGTCCCAATATCCACAAATAGGGTCCCTCAGCCAAAACAAATTAAAGGGACCACAGTCACAGGGCAAAAGGTTGGCAAGTAGTACTCTCCAAAAACCAGTGGCATGGTCACTTTCGTCACAAACACCGAAGTAACTGTAATTAAACTTCTTCTCAAGTTGAATTAACTGCAATCTCTATACAGTTGAGCTTAATCCCTATTGTGAAAGGATATCCGTGTGCAAGGAGGACAGGCTTTTTTCATTGAACTATATTGATCTAATCCAGTGAAAGCGTGACTATAGCTCTTGTGCCAATATATCGCTTTGTATCAGCTATACCCATTAGCAACATTACTTACATTCAGCAACTTTAATTATGCCCTCTCCCTGTATCTTTGATCTAATTTAACTTGTATCTGATTCCCCTACAGAGGCATACCTGAATAAAGCCTAACAAGATAGGAGAACTGGATCTCTGCTAATTTTTATAGTCAGAGAATTACCCGAAAAGGCTTCAGATTACAAATCTGACCACAACCACTTTGTGGTGAAGTGTTTCAACTACAGTATATACTCTATTTTCTTTCCAGATAACACCTATACACAGAGTTTCCTCTCTGGTGGGAGTTATAATTCTATTTCATTGATGAATAGGGGTTAAGCCCCGAGACACTACTGCTGTGTCTTTTTGGTGTTCCAGTTTCAGAGTGGGAGATTCTGCAAGAGCAGACCTCCCTACTCTGAACAACCCTTGATAGCTTGATAAAGGCCTCTGTGTAGGCCGAAACATTGCACTTTATGTTCCAATAAGACTGCCTTCCTGCAGCTATCCTGAGTGCCTGGACCTAATTTATTTTATCTACTAAACTGGATTTTGCCAACCCTGGCCCTGATAAGCAGATGGAGTCAGAAGTGTGAGTGCAAGTATCAGAGTACAATATGTGAACTAACAGTTTGTATGACCAATACTACTTGAGATCCTCTTCACATTTGGTGAGTTCATATTTGGGGCCTTTGGTTTTCTTTTGAGGGAATAAAAACATGTTGCGGGATATAGAGAGAGACTAGCAGAACTTACCTTCCACCCTCCCCCATTACATAACTATTCATTTGGATGAAGGTTTATATTTAGTTTGATTGTCTATTATGATACTAGGTCAGTTTTTGCATCTCATGCAAAGTTATCATCAACGTTTGCTATGTGGCAAAATGCAAACATGTGTTTCGACCATCATCGCCTTGAATTATTAATACCACTGTTTGCACAATGTGATTTTAAGATAGCAGTCTAATAGAAGATGGGAGGTTTCCATTTTGATAATTAAAACAATGTCATCATCAGAACAAGAGTAGACCAGTTTAGATCACCATCACAGTGTTGTTCATTTGGGATATTTCCTCCTTTCTATCTCAGGCATGTAATTAAATCCTATAAATACAAGCAACAAGCTCATAGAAGAAGATACCAGAACTCACTGATCCAGCATCATGATGAGCTTCATGCTAAGTGCCTTTTGCATGCTTGCTATTTTCTTCAACACAGGTGAGTTAGGAAGCATAGTTACTTCTCAATGTCTGGGCGACCATGTCGACCTCAGTTAGAAGACACGTTTTTTTAATGCTATTTAGTTATGTGTGTAGACCAATAAGAACAGCACATGGTTATATTAGATGGCTAGGTATATTTAACCATGCTCCCGATTGTTTGGAAAGTCTACAGATGAAGACAAGTTAAACATATGAATGTGTCTCCTTGTGTATTTTAATGTATGTTGGTTACCATTTCTGATCTGAAAACTCTGTAATATATTAGTTGAAGGCCATGAAACCATGTGTAGTGATTAATATCAACATTCATTTCATATGTAGGACTGTATTAGATTAAAAAAATAGATACATTTTAGGAAGAATAAGGGAAGAATAAGGGAGAGGAGGTCACTCAATATTTCTAAGACTGAAATAAAGCATTATGGTTACTAAGGAATCGGGTGGTTTAATATAGGATATATGCAATATTATTCTTATTATTCTTATTATTATTATTATTCTTGAGAAGCTGACTGAAGTGGTTATGGTGTTCAGAGTAATTTTTTTTTCATAATAAAAAATATCCATACCACTTGTCCCAAACATTTTTGGGTGCTAATTTATGGATTCCCTATCGCTTTCCATGCTTACAATTTGCATTCCATTTATATATATTTTTTATTTGTGTGTATTTTTTATTATCCCCTAGTTTTAAAAATGAAAATATTCAATATACTCATAGGTCTCTATATGCTCATAAGATAAATGTTTTCTGAGCCAGATGCCAAAATTACACATCAGAACAGCTTATTGCATTGTTCTGGGCCATGCCAGGTGTGTCCAAACACACTCTAAGAAAAAAATATTTTGTTTTTTTAAAATCAATTTTTCCCGTTTATATCTCTATCTGCACTTTGAGTCAATTTGAGCTAGCCAGTTATCAGATGAAAATAAAGACGAAGCAATATCATGTGTTATCACTACAGAAAAAAAAGCCATTTTATTGCATATTTATAATTTTGCAATATTTATTAACTTTTGCAACATTTGTTAAAAAAAAATAAAAAAAAAGTTAAGTACCATTACATTTCAGTTTGTTTGTCATATTAAAACAATGCCTCATATAATTGTGTTTCCAAAAAATATTCTCTCTTTAAAATAAATTCTAGGGCACATATGTTAGCGATGTACGGCACATGAGAAGTTTGGAATAATATATCGAGGAACCTGGGCTGGGGGCATCAGGTGGGGGCTTAAAATACAATTAATAGTTGGTGGACAGGTCACAGTCCACCCCCTGTTAACACCTATTGCCACACATGGGGGCTCTATAATAAACCGTGGGTGGAACTCTGATGCAAATCTTCTGCGTGTTCTGATTGGTTTGTTTAGTCAGGCTGAGGATAGATTTTGTTTTGTGGTACATTTAAAAAAAAAAAAAAAAGTATTGCCTTTCATCAGTTTTGTTCTTTGTTTATTTTTAATAGTAGCGTTGGAGGGAGATGAATAGATAGATAGTAGGCTAATCCTGAAACACTCTTGGTATTTAGTTACGCATATATGCATCCCAGTAGGGGGCGCTCTAGCTAGCCCTAAAGCACAGATTAAGCATTGATAAAAGGGTCTAATTTCAAAAATAAAAATAAAACAGAGTTATCATATATTTCTACATTATATTCAATCTATCCATTATTCATGTTTATTTTCTTTTATTAAGAAACTTGTTTCATTCTAGGGAATTGTTTTCAGTGTCAGAAATGTGAAAACACGAATGGTGACACATGCTCTGGAGAGCTTGAGACATGTGATACATCTGTCGACTCCTGCTTGACTACATTAGTTGTTACAATTCATGGTAAGTAATTAATCCAGCTGTGTAATTATCATGGTATTACTACAAGAAGGTGTACAGAAATGTTTTGTCAACCACTACTTACGCTAAAATTGTAAACTATGGTGATACTAAAAGCTATTTATTACAGGTACCAACACCACTTCACACATCACAAAGTCTTGTGTGTCCAACACCGATTTGTGTTATGCTAATTATAACATGACATTTGGATCTATGCAACTGTACAGTATAGCTCAGTGCTGCAAAAGCGATGGGTGCAACAAAGACAACATAAAACGTGAGTATTGAGACCTCTCTCATAGGATTGGTAATAAGTAAGACCCAATGACTGTGTCATCTTAAGAGTCACCCATGAGCATGTTAAACATGGATGGTTTTAGAGATTTTTTTTTTAAATGAGACAAGATCTTCACAGTCAATATAATTGTTACCTCATCATTATCTCTGTTCCTTCCTCAGTGCCTCCCTTTAACCATACCGAAAATGGCGTAAGCTGTCTTTCCTGTTTAAATGTAGGCGGGGAAAAGTGTGTCACTAAAGAAACCATTAATTGTACTGGCGCCCAAACTAAATGTTTCTCCTACACCGGTGGAATCTATATTAAAGGTAGGTGTCCAGTCTTTATCAATCTTCAATCAAATGTATTTTAGCCATCTGAGTGCCACCATTTGTTAAAGAGTGGATAGTATGATTGATTGATGTATTCTGACATATACATTGTTTTAATATTTACAGGCAAGTTTGTTGACACTGATCTAAAAGGATGCACCACTGAAGATGTTTGCACCCACCATGCCCCGACCTACCCAGCCACTCTGTTAAAAGACGGATATATATTAACCTGTCCTTAAGATTGACGTAGCAGCAATCTACAGTAAATGCACATAGATTGACAGATGATGAGTTGCATTAATTGTAGTGTATTGGATATATCAAACGAATATAAATAAATTCACTTTTCATCAAATAAACTCTATGTATAATTATATGTATTCTATAATAGCATGGCAGTAATGTGTATAATTATTCTCAAGAGTTTGTCTGCAGTTGAAATTATTGAATTAAATATAAAGTGTGACAATAAAAGCAAAAGTGTCAACTGGAATTGTATTTTAAATTTGATTATTATTAAACTAAAGTAGTGTAAACAGGAAATAATATTCTCAGAAATGCCAAAAAATATTAGATTGTACTTGAGAGTCATTCCATTGTTAAATTAACAAGATTCTTGCCACGGTGGTGGACTTTTTCCAATTATGGATAATGTGTCACAATAGGTGCATGTAGGTCCACACACATAGATAATCCCAAATAATGATGAAAAAGTATGCATATCAAAAAGTCATGGTAGCATGCTGTCACTGCAACCCTCATAGATGCTAAAGTTGGAACAGGCATTTCACACCAAAACCGCAAAGAAAGAGAATTCAGCGCTAATTACCACACAATTAGTAAAGGTAGGCAGCAACCCAAAGGAAGGAGAACCCCTCAAGTCCTTCAATGAGTACAGGTAGAGAAAAAGATATCTAAGGGCTGCGCCAAAAGTCCGGTAACGTATATCTAGAATACTAGTAGATCGTCAGGGATACTGGATAAGGTTTCCTGGTGGAAGTAGGTGCGTCTGGTGTTGACTGTTCAGTATATGAAAATACAAAAGAGATAGAGGCAACCAATGGTGCAGTATGTAAAATCCAAGGTGCGGTAGGTAACAAAAGTAGAGAACTCACATTCAGGGGAGCTATGGCCAGCTCTGGTGTGAATCACGTACAGCGGTATAATCCCCGCTTATGGGATATGCAGGGGAGGGCTCTCCGTCAGCACCATCTGGTAATCCAAAGCTCAGGAGAAGAGATAGAAGCAACAATAGTGCTCTCAATTGTGATATAATTGAATGTGCAATAGATAGAAAAAGGAACTCACATTTGAGGGAGCTATGGCCAGCTCCGGTGTGGATAGCGTACCGCGGTATAATCCCCGCTTATGGGATATGTGGTGGTAGTACGTCCGTCAGCACCGTCTGGTGGTCCAAAGCTCCAAGAGAGAGGGATAAAAAGCAGCAATAGTGCTCTCAATTGTGATGTGATACAGGAGTAAAATAACAAATAAAATAATACTCACAAAGATAGAGCAGAGGTACTGCTCTATGGATGGGTGTTGGTGGTATGATCCCCACCTGGGATTTCTTGGAGTACTGGAACAGTAAAAATTTGCGAGTGGAAGTAGAAGTAGCAGGAACGTTAAAATGCCAGGAATAAATAATAAAAAAATAAAAAAGTATAAAGTGCATAGAGAGTGCAATAAAAAGAGGATTGGTACGGTAAGGTAACCAAAAATTTTTTATTGTTCTAAAATACACAATAAAATATAAAAGTAATAAACCATAAATGCGTTTCACCATAAGTGGCTTCTTCAGAATGGGAGAATTTCACACCAAAACATTGTAGTACACTGAGATGACACACATTTTCCAGCAATGTGTCTAAAAATAAATACACCCATGCCCTGATAGATCTCATAGGTTCCCAAATCACTCTAAGGCACCTGGGAAGGTCATGTTTGCAAGGGGTTGCCATTCCACTTCAAATGAGTTGCTCTCCAAACAAACCAACTGGTACCTCCCCCACACTGCAAATACAAAAAGATCGCCTGCATATCTCAAGCTGAAATCTATGTGGTACCTAGCTAAATGCTGTCAGGGAGACTTCAACATTCTGTGCAGAAGAGGTGCCAGAATATGAAAACACAAAGAGTATAATGTATATCCCTGTCTCCACCTAAACCTCGGTTTACTCCAAAAAAACACGATTTACAGAAAAAACAAATAAAATTGATGTGGTGTGCTATACAAACATGTTAAAGTCACCAACTAAGTGGTATACATACACTGGTAATGAGTCTCGCGGAAAGTATTGGTATAATAATCCCAGTTAGGAACAGAAATTCCAGCTTTAATCACTTAAAAAAATAAAATAAAAAATATGAAACAAAACATAGTGTAAAACCATACAAAAAGACGATCTAAAAAAGGTAATTATTGCACTCACAAACACTCTGCCACTAAAAGTGGCCAGAAAGGCACGTAGATAGGTCAAACAGACCTCCAAATTGGGGCTCCAATATGTTCCTAGTCAGATAAGTCCTTCCACCTCACTCGGGTTCCAGATCCCAAGGAATGTAGCTAAAGATGTCACTGTTTTCTGGATAGGATATGAGGATGTCCCAATAGAAGTAGGTGAAAGCCTCAGAATTCTCCAAAATGTGTCCTGTGGCAGACCGCCTGGTATCTCGACTGGGTACCTTTCGCCAGACACGCTTCCTGGATCCAGCTCCAAGTGGTGAGAGCTCTTCTCCAGAGAGTATAGCTGTATATAGCCGAGACTTAATGCTGGGAGTGAACTGAACTGACTTTAATGGGACAGAGTACATCCAATGTATACACAGACCCCAGCAGACCTCCATTACCTTTGCCACAAGCCCCTCCCAGGAATCTCTGGGCCTGGGAGATAATTGCGTTAAAGACTGGTAAGCTAATTATCTCCCAGGAACAGAGAGGCAAACATAAAAATATTACCTGCCACTATTTTGCCTATACACTAATATTTCCATAATCACTACTACTGCGTACCACATATTAGTGCAATTAATTAGCACTTATGTGTTGACTTTCTTTTTGTGTTTTTTCTCTTTTTCTTTCTCCTTTGGATATACTGCAAGGAGGTTGAATAAGTGGTTTATAAGAGGCTTGATAAACGGCCGAAAACAACTGAATTCGTATAAACGAATAGTTAGCCGCTGTGAAGACACTGAGCAGAAATCGATAAAGTGAATAGTGAAAATACTGCTGAATATCTATATTCTATATGCTATATTGGATTTGATTTTTAGTGTACTCATAGTAGGCTATAAGAGTTGCATAGACTCGAAGCTAATCAGCTCTGAGCTACTCTCTGGTTACAGGGGGGGATAAAAAGGTTTAAATTAACCCTTTATTCGACTATCTAGTATTAAGATTTTGACAAGGCAAAAGTGCTGCTGTATCCGGGCGAATTATCGACATACTTGGAGAAGCTTGCATTCAAAGACCTATTTGGAGAGAGAATGGGACCTAAAAAAAAGCACCAGACAGCGTTAAACGCTATGTCTAAACCCACTATACCAACCATATCACCACAAGGAGCACAAAGACTCCATACAGATCAGATAAGGCAACAGGAAGAACAAACAGAGTGAGGTACTCCCAGCTTTTGATCCTTTAAGTTCACCAATAAGCCCTTCGATGCTAGAAGTTTCAACAGAAAGCCTAGATCTTAGATCAGTACTTGCACAATTACCTTCTAAATCAGATTTGATTGATATATTTAAAAAAATGGAGGATAGCTTCGGGGAAAAATTAAAAGCTGTCACTACAGAAATACACTACTTAGGGGACAGAGTGTGTGAGCTGGAAGAGAACCAAGAAATAAATAAAAACCAGTGGACTGAATGTTGGAATACACTAAGATCACAGACCGAAGCTATTTTACCCATACAATGGAAATTGGATGATATTGATAATCAAGGAAGAAGAAACAATCTACGGATAAGAGGGGTCCCTGAATTGATGGAGGATGAACAAGAAGATCCTTCAAAAATTCTTACCTGTATCTTCAATCAAATTCTAGGAAGAACTTCGGACTTTAAAATTAAGCTGGATAGAGCCCATCGAATAGGAAGATTAAGGAATATACCACAAGAAAATCCTCGAGACTTAATTTGTTGTATCCATGACTTCATATTAAAAGAAGAAATTGTAAGGAAAGCTAGATCAATGAAGGAAATCAAATTTAATGATCATACTATTGCAATCTTTCAAGATCTCTCTACCTCTACTTTAATGGCACGTAGAGCTCTGAGACCGATCACTCTCCTTTTGGGACAAAAACAGATAAAGTGTCAGTGGAACTATCCATTTGCATTAATGGTCATTCAACACTCCAAAATATATGATTAAGACACCAGCTGATATACCAGAGTTTCTACAAGCTTTGGGGCTTCCTCCTATTGAGATTGAAGATTGGACAGGCCTTTCAGGCATCTCTCTACCATAAGAATTTCAAAATCCCAAATGGCAAACCAAAACTAAAAAAAACATGTCTTGTGGTCACAAATGGGTCTCCCACAGGGATTGCATATTATCCTATTATGGAAGCAATAATTATAGGAAGAATATAAACTTAATCTTTCTTTTTTCGATTTTTTATTATTTTTACAATTTACTTTTTTTTCCCTTTCTTTTTTCTTGTTGTTTTGTTTATCTTTTTATTGTTTATTTTTTTAGTGTGCTCGCAGCTCAAATATTGGGAAAGTTGTATTTGGCTCAGGTTGGTGGAATTTTTTATTGGAATTATGGTGCAAATTAGTCTTATGTCTTTAAATGTTAAGGGGTTGAATTCCCCTAGGAAGCGATCTATCCTGGTACAGGAATTAGAAAGACAGAAAAAAAATATTGTTTTTATCCAGGAAACTCATTACAAAAATACCTTTCAGCCTACAATTAATACGAATAGAGTCAAACAGACCTTCTATAGTAACTTTGTAAAAAATAAATCTAGAGCATTGGCAATTTTTATAAACTCTGACTTGAATTTTATCCAACTAGACAGTAAATTGGATTGAGGAGGAAGATATTTTCTTAAAAGGGAAGGTTAATGATCAAATGATCACACTGGTAAATATATATGTACCCAATGTTAATCAGGCATCATTCTTGAGCACCTGCCTGAGGAAATTGGAGGATTTTAAGGAAGGAGTTTTGATAGTTGGTGGAGATTGTAATATAGTGCTGGATTATGCTTTAGATAGCTCCTCAAAG